GGTGCGAGCGAGCGATTTCATTTCGCGAACGAAGCCGGGAGGAAAAGCCGGCTCGCGGCTGAGTTTGCGCGCCGGTTCGACTCGGTTCGCTTCGAGCGACTCTCGCCGAGCGCGACAGTTTCAGCCGACCTAGACGACGACGAGGAGCTACGCTGCGCCGACTGAACAGCAGCAGCAGCATCCGGCGTCCTCGAGCGGTGCGCGTCTCGGATTTTCGCGGGATTCTACCGCCTGCTACCACCCACTGGTGGTCGCTCGCCGTTCGCCTCAGCGAGATCGCTCCGTGCTCTCGTCAGAGTGAGTCATCGCCGCTTGTTTCGGCCTTTTTCCCCTCTTTTTGGTCTCTCTTTGTCGTCCCGGCCTTGCCCGTTACTGCACCGCGTTCGGAAATTTCGTATGTACCGGAGCCGTGTTTTCGGCCCGCCGCGACCTTCGGCGTTGCGAAAACAACGCAGCAGATGTGCGTGTCTCGTGAAGGGTACTCGCGATAACGAATTATTCTCTCTCTGAATCTCCCGAATGCGGCGTCTATATGTTTTTAATCTGACGATACACGTTTTTTCAAGGCCGCTCCGCTGTGACATATATATTTCTAGAGAGCAAAAGGTTAACGTTGATGTATTATTATTCGAGTCGAGCCGCGCTTGTTCTCTCCCTCGGAGAGGATGACGTTCCTCGTCACTCGTCATCGCGAAATTTAATCATACGTTCGTGAAGGTTTGAAGTTTCACAGCGAGAGAGTCTCGGCTATCGGCGATATCGTTTAGCGCGAGAGCAGAATCTCTCGCGCAGGAAAAAGCCCAAATCGGGACTTCATGCTTTGGAAGCCTTGCGTTACGCTCGCCTCGGATAACGCGGAGAAGTGCCGATTGTTGGTCGGTCGGTCGGCATGTCGGCATTAGTCAGCCAGCGTCTCGAGAAATTCGTGCTAATTTTTACACGTATATCGTACATCGTGAGTTGATAACGCATATCGGTTATTAGCGCACGATGGTTTCTGATTTTCTCGGACAATGGTGCAGTTAGCCGTGCCGTTGCCGTTTCATCACGAAGACACCGGCGAGAGAGATCTCTCTCTCTCTTTCTCTCTCTCTCTCTCTCTCTCTCTCTCTCTCTCTCCGCCTTCTGCCCGCGAACAAGCAAAGTCCGCGCACCGTTACATTGTGATAACAATTGCCGCGGAGTACTCGAAATCATCGAGTCTCCGGTCTCGTGCGTGGTGTCGGTTCTTGATGCACCGGATACGTGATAACGCGGTAAAACTCGTTGATTTACTCCGGAGCGGCAACCGCGAGCGCGAGCAGTCGGCTCCGATGAACATTGGTTCAACGATCGTTCCGCGAGCAAGAACCTGGATGTACTTATGCGCGTGCCACCTACATAATTCATATCGGTATGGAGAAGCCGCGCTTTTGACGCGGAAGGGAGAAGGAACGACGTTGCGCCGATCCGCGGAAAATTCGTGCGTCCGCGAGACATGAAGATGGAAAAATTGCGAGAGAAAGAGAGAGAGAGACAGAGACAGAGAGATAGAGAGAAACGCGATCGATCGATTGAAATCCCCGATCGAGAGCGTCTCGAGAGAGCAGCGGCTCGCCGACGACGACGTAAAGGAAGAAGAAAGAAACACGGACGGCCGTGACGTTTTCCTCGAGCGCCGCGCGACCGCGCGTCGTTTTCTTTCTCCGCACGCACTCGAGCTGTCGCGCAGGTCGGGACATGCCGTCGAGACCGACACGTGTAATCTAATATTTCCGTGTAATTCATATCGCCGTCCGCCACAGAAAGTACCCGCACGCCGGCCTCGCGCCGCGCCGCGTCGCGTCGTGTCGGTCCCTCCGATCGGTGGTGGATAGCAACGGTGTGTGCAGGTACTTTATCTTCGGTATCTCGCCACTTGGACCGCGCATCTGGATCTTCAAGGAGCATTTCGCGCGATTCCTTTTTCACTGTCTCCTTCACAATAGATGTATGAACGAGAGACGTATGGCCGAGCTGTCTCCTTGTGACAACTTGCTCCTTGCTACCAGCCCGCTTCGGTCTTCCCTCGCACACAGAGACGAGACGCGCATACGCGTAACGTCTGCTCGCGTTAACGATCATAATACTTCAGCGAACTACCCCGCGTTAACGAGACGCCCATACGTCCGCCTGGAAGCACACCCTCGCTGAACGCACCGCGATCTATTACGTGTGCGGCCGATTCAGTAAGACCACGAAGCGCCACGCGTTATCTCGACTCGTGCACACGAGACTCCCATTCATAGTCTTATCGTAGCCTCGCTATCAATGCACGCAGCTGGTTGCTATAAGCGACCTTGGGCGGCCGCTGTACACCATCTTCGTCGTCGCCGCCGCCGCCGTCATCGTCGTCGTCGCCGCTGTCGTCGTCGTCGTCGTCGCCGTCGCCGCCGCCGTCATCCTCGTTATCGTCGTCTCGTCGTTGTCTCGTCGTCGTTGTCGTCTCCCCATCGTCGTCGGCCGTCGTAGCGACTGCGAGTCGAGAATACACGGGAGAAAGGTGCGCTAGAGAGAATTCATTAAGCGGGTAACACTCGTGGTTCTGCCGCCTGCGGTGGTGTGGTCGACCACGTCATTTGCGCACGTTCCTCTCCTTACGCATACGTTCGTATTCGCACTTTTACCCTCGCGTTCTCGCACTAACAATGTGCGCGCACACGTTTTCGCTGAATCCTCGAGAGAGAGAGAGAGAGAGAAAGAGAGAGGAGAGGCACGTATAATCGATAGCGCACGCGTGTGTGCCGCGCGGATGTTTCCCTTCGGTGCTCTTTTCTTCTCTCTTCCCTCTTCCTTCCCTTCTTTGTCACGCTGCATCTTCAACGCGCTCGCTGCCTGCGAGGAGAGCGAAGGATGAGCCGTCTCTCCTCTCTCTCTCTCTCTCTCTCTCTCGGGATACTTCTCTTTTCCCCTTCGCGCAACGAAATAAGTAATGCGTCGACATGAGACACGATCGCGGGGTACCCGCGCCGCCAATTATCGCACGCCTGATCCTTGTGTACTCGTTGAGCGATACAGCCGGCGATTATCGATCGTTGCGGCCGTATTTTAGTCCCCTTTGGTCGCCTAATGCGTCACCGGTGACCATGCGGATGTCCCCCGAGTGACCGTCGCCGGCGTGCTCGTAGCCGGTCGACTTCGACAATCGGACAGATTTCCGACCCTCGCAGGATGTAATTCTTCGATTTCGGGCGTCTCTTTTTCTCTCTCTCTCTGAAGCTACCGCAACCTTGGCAACCAGACGGTCTTCAAGTGCTCTTTGACCGGAGATCTCTCTCGCGCGACTGTACTTTTTTTTTTCATTCGGGAGGCAGTTAAAATTGGCAGAGGGGAGAGAGGCGGCGAATATACGCGGAAAAAACGGACCGACCGATGGTTAAATTAATATTCCTCTCTCTCTCTCTTTCTCTCTCTCTCTCTCTCTCTCCCCCCCCGCTCTGCGGCTGACGAACGAATGCTTTTGCGGCATAATAAAGTCACTAGAGCGTAAATGCGAGAGTATGAAAGAGAAGACAAGAGAGACGACAAGAGAGGTGAGCGACGACGAGAGGTAGACAAGGGGAGAAACAAAACGAAACGGCACGAGAGAAAGAGAGAGAAAGAGGGAGAGGAGCGAACGACGAGCGGCGGAGGACGAAGGAGAGAGGGATGAGAGAGGACTATACGCAGGCGTCGATAGGCGGTGTAGCGCGTAGGTCAACGTACTTTCTGCCAGGGCCGCATGATATTTTCTCGCGGGTGCAAGGAGAGCCGCCGCCGCGCCGCGTCAAGTACTTTCACTAATTCGTCGAGCTTTCGTCCGACGTGAAATCTCTAGCAGACGCGGATCATACCGCACGCGATATACCGCACAACAAAACAGCGCGATTCCTGAAAGTTCTCCCTACCTCGAAGAAAAAAAGAAAAAAGAAATAACGTCGACGCGCGACGCTCTGCGACTTACCCGCGAACGTTCCATCCGACGCGACGTTGAGAAGAAGAGAAGACTTTGACATATAAAATGTATTCCAAAAAATATGTAAAAAAGTCCGCGACTTATCTTTAGCGAGGTCGTCGAGTCGTACCGTAGAGAGTAAAGCGCAGCAAGGACGATCTCGTCGCGCCGCGCGACGAGCAGCGCAGCGCACTTTTACAGCCACCGCGGCACGACACCGCACGGCACGGCGCGCATTATATACAGTTATAGCGTTTTATAGGAAACAATATTTCTGATAGGAGTGACGTTACGTGCCTCTTGAGCGCGATCGCGTGATGATCCTCGAGCGCGCACTTTATTCACGAGCCATTGACTGCGCCGACTATAAGCCTTAGCTGCACTTTTATTACGATGACTCACGGCGATAAGCTAATTGACTACGGAACAGCGAATCCATTGAAAAATACTCGTACTGTATCCTCGCGCCCGTCTCTTCCGCGTGTCGGGTCTCTTCTCCAGCGCGCACGTCTCGCGTCTGACGTCTCTGACGTTTTCGTTCGCGCCGGCGAACAACGCCGCGTTTACGTGCTTTCTTATCTGTCAACAGCTCCGGTAACCTCTTACTCCCTCTTGAACCCTCGATGCCGTCGAGGGGGGTGAAACTACCGAGCACTTTTTCTACTTTACTTTGATTCCGGAACCACTTGACTCATCGCAACGTATTATATCGAGAGAGCTCAAGTGGGAAACGCGTGTGTGAAACGAAGGTGGAAATCTGCTGAAAACTGCAGCGCGATGACAAATCTATCTCAAATTGATATCGCGTTGCCTTTCTCGCAAGCAAAATACATGAAAATGAAAATATATGAAAATGCGAGCACATTGCTCAATTCGTCCGCGGTACTTTCAATGTTAAATAGCGAATAAGTCTAAGAAGACGAGAGAGCGTGAGAAGAGTGCACGCAACTTGGTGTTTACATGCTCGAGATGACGAACAGACAGTCGTAATCAACATTTGATTGTCGAGGAATTAACTGACGGTTTCTTTTTTCCTTCATTCTTGCAGACGATCTCAAGTACGTGCAACAGACTCTGCTGCAGTGCGCTAAGCGAGCGGGCTCGCTCGACAACATCACTGTGATCGTGGTATTCCTGACGCCGCCGATCGAGATCGCATCGCGACCCCTGAACGCGCATCCGCTACTGTCGTATCCGGCGCCGAATGGTCTACTGAACAACATGGACCCGAACAATCCGTTCTTGTCGAACGTCAACGGCCAGTTCGACGTGAACGCAGCCTTCGTGAAGCAGCAGCAGAAGCTCGACGCCGATCTGCAGCACGAGAACGGCACCGATCTGGACCTCGACGACAACCGTCGGCTGATTTACGGCACTAGTTCCAGCAACGGCAAGCATGTGGAAGACGCGGACGGTAACGACGACTACGATTACGGCGACTTGGGCCCAGAGACCGATGTAGACGCCGTCGACGACGCGCCGGACGTTCGCGCGCCTCTCGACCGACTGTCGCGCGAGCTCTTCCCCGACGAGAAGCCACAGCGGATAACAAGCGAAGCTGACAATAATATCGAGGTCGACGATGACGACGACGATGAGGACGAGGACGAGGACGACGACGATCTTAGTCGCGACAACGCGAACGTCCGGCGAGCGTACGACAATGACGACGTGATGGACAATCGTATCCGAGGACAGAGTGATGAGGACGTTTACGGCGCGGACGACGACGTGCCGCGCGACAACAAAGATGACGTGCCGCAGCCGCCGCCACGCGGCGTCGTAGATAGCGACGCGCGCGTTGCCCAGCCCGACGCACCCGTCGTCGACGACGATGAGTCGCCACCCTCTCCGCGAGCTGCTAGTAAGTGCAATCTGTCGTCTGTAAGGACTCGCTTGTGCGTCGCGCTGGTGTACGGTTACGCTTATCACGCGGTCAGCAGTCTGTTCGTGTCGTTGGCGAACTGCATCTCGAGCTCGTTCGGCGCTCACGTCCTCGGTCTGCGTCGGAAGTGAGTGTCCTTCCCTTCCTGTGTTACCTGTCGCGGTCGCCGAGGACCGTACGGCCCCGGACGAGTTCGGCGGACAGAACGCGTTGACGATAGCTGAATTAGCCGGCGAGGTGACACCTTGTGTAAATCTGCTGTAGTTTTGTAGATCTCGCCGTTGTACACGCCACATCAGCGACGAGATTGCGTCTAGTCATTATACAACACGGGGGAGAGACGAGGTATATTTCACGTTTTTCTGAGAGAACGTTGCGAGAGAAGGAGAGAGGGAGATAATAGCCTGTATTGTCTAAAAATAGAGAAGAGAAAGAGACAGAATGAGACAAAAAGAGACATTCTTGTCAATACAATATCGCGGAGAATACGCGGAGAGATGAGTTCATTGTAAGTTTCTTCGCTGCCTTGAGAGGTAGTATTTCGCGCGTCTTTTCTCCTACGTACAAATATCGTTCAATTGAAAAATCAGACGATGTGTTTAAGAGCATGATGCACATTCCCGCGTCATTTAAAGATAATGACGCAGTCTACGGTGAACCGTTTTTCGTACTTGTGCGAACTAAATGGATCTCACCCTCTCTTGCTTCCATTTTATGTCCCGTTGGAAATACGATGAACATCTCTCTTATCGACTTACAGGAAAGAGATACCGCGTATTGCATTCAGTGAAGGATATCTTATCTGGATGGAGAGTGTGGAATCACAGGCGAAACTGTTATCTTTCTCTCGACGGGAATATCATATCGCGTGAAAGCATTATCGCGTCTTTTCCCTCTTTCATATCCTTTTATGCGCGCTTTGTCGGCATCGATTGGCCTACGTTTCTCCGTGTATAAATTTCTACTCTCTTCAACGCAGATTAACGGTCGAATTTTCGGCCGTCAGTGGCATTGTCAATCGCACAACATCGTGTTTTTCTTATTACGCTTTTACATTTTTGTAAAAGTAACTCGACTACAAATCTCTGAGAAAAACGCTCGATTCGTGCGATTTATATTTTGCCTAGTGCACAACGATTAGAAGCAAAAGCGTTTGCAATTGCGTTTAAACGTGTCAGCGAAGATATCGTATCGAGGAAAGCAGACAGTCCCCCTCTATCGACTACTAAAATTAATTCCATTCAACCCGCATCAGTAACACTGCAAAAATGGAAATTTAAACACACTAAGGGTAATACAATAATCATATTTTTCTCTTCTCAGTCAATTCTCTATGCGCTTTCTCGGTAGACGGAAATGCCGAATGTAGGATAATCGCGGGAGCTCGTTAGCGTTGTAAACTAGGCGTCGTAAATCTTCGTCGCAGCAGATATGCGCTTTTTAAAAAGCCTCATTATGTCTATACGTTTCAGAGTCAGAATTGTTTACGAGAAAGATAATAGATAATACCACGTGATAGATAATACCACAGCAATAATGAGCGACCAACGTTCGATGCATTTTACGTGAAATATTACAAAAGTCGAACAAGAACTATTCCAAGTTAATTAGATTAAGCAGCAAATTTTCACGTTGGTAGAGTGCGAAATTGTTATAAATATTTTCAATATAAACTTGATTCACGAGATAAAAGTCCGACAAGTTATATTCTCATAAATTTGCGCGTGACAACTGAAAGCTTTCAATTGCTCTTTAATCTAAACGTCGAGATACGAAACGTGTTGGACAGTGAGTCAGTGTTTGCATCGACTATTATCGTTGGTAGCAAAAAAAACATTTGTAGATATAAAACGTAACGTTTATATCCGATAAAAAATATCTCGTCACGACGCCTAGTATATATATTTGACACTGTCTTAGGCTTTATTCTTTTCTCTCGCTTCCGCTTACTTTCCTCCGTCTCGTTGACGAACGAATTTCTTTTCTTTCTCATGAAATATACACGAAAATCGTCACAATATCGCGCAGTGACATTGGACGTTTAATTATTTATTCGAATGATTAATAATGCAACAAAGTCGATAACAGCGAGTCGCTTGGACTCGGTACGTTTCAAAGATATTTCCGGGCTCGTACCGACTCGTTATCTCATAACGGTAAGTTTATCTCGAAAATACTGTAAAATATCGTCGAATGTCTCTCGCCGGTACCGTTACGTCCGTTCGAATCCGGCGCGCCGCGGCGCAAGCTCGCGCAGCGCGCTCACGATTGGCCACAGCCGCGGTCGTGGACGACCAATCAGACTACGTGCCGCCAATTGTCGCGGTCGCGCTAGAAGGGGATCGCCGGCAGTTCCTTACGAGCCTCGTACAGTCGTGAGTGCGTGTTCTCTTTTTCGAGCTTCCCTAAAGTATTCGTCGCGATATACACAGCTCAGTGTCACGCCGGTCCCGCCTCTATTGGATGTATATCGCTTCCTGGTGAAACCAGGTTATCGCTGCGCCTCCGTGCGACTGCTGCATCCGCTGACCGGGTGCGGACGAGGAACGTTCTCGGAGGTACGTTAAATAGTCACGCTCGCTCGCTCTCTCGCGCGCGCACACACACACACGGACGGCCTCCATCGCTCCACAGGGAACGCCGAGGCCAAAACGCAAATTTAAATTTGGAACGGACGCTGCAGCGCGACGCCTCCGTGTCGGTCGCAAACATGTCGCGAAATAATCGACGACGACCATCGCGACGGCACGGCGGCCGCTCGAGCCGGCCGGCAAACGGCGGCGACCGGGGGAAAGTTGGATCTCGGTCGGTGGAATTCCTAACGTGGTGCTCGCGATGAAAATATACGTTCTACGGCGCGATAGCAGCGCTTCCGTCGTTAGGAATAGACGTAGAATCCGTGGCCCGGAAGTCAGGGCCCTGGCGAGTTCGTATACCGGTTTCGAGCCAGGCCCGGTGTGTCTCCTTTCCCTCTCTCCCTCCCTCTCTCTCTCTCTCTCTCTCTCTCTCTCTCTCTCTCTCTCTCTCTCTCTCTCTCTCTCTTTCTTCCTCTTGTTCTCGTTCTTGCTCGTTGTGCTCGACGTTGTTCGACGTTTCTACGTCGATCGTCTCTTCTCTTTTTCTCCACTGCTCTATATAGAAATGAATGTGAAAAGCCGAATCGTAAGAGTGATATTTGTTCTTGCACGGTCGATGCTTCTCGGCGTTTTTGCGAGTCGTGTGTGCGAGAAGGAAGAAACAAAGGAGCAGAGAGGGAGAGAGAGAGAGAGAGAGAGAGAGAGAGAGAGTGAGTGCGAGGCAGATAGAAAAAGATAGTTCCCCCTGGCGCATCATGCGAAGCGCGTACGAAAATATCGTGTTGTGAAATTACCGTGTTGTGCTGCACCGTAAACGGCGCGTCGGCGCCGCCGCCGTCATCGTCGTCATTATCGCCATTCGAAAACCGAGGTCGCAATCCCGTGAATTTGTCCTCGCACGTCGTGTCAATCGTCATACATGCCGCTGCTCCAGCAGCGTGCGTTTCGTTTCTCATTTAACGAATTACGGAAGAAATCGCACCGGTACGGGAGCTCGGTTCTCGCGGCTGTAAATACGCGAAAATAGATCTTACGCCAGTTCTTGCAATCCCTGCGTGGTCGTGACTAAACGCGGAAACTCATCCGCGCACGCGCGTCGCAAGCAGCAGCGAATTCCAAACTCACCGGAGCCGAATGCAACGAGCCACGAAGCTTCTTTTCGAGGACACGTCGATAACCGTTAATTTGATGAAATTTACACCGGACGCTCCGAGTTTGGAAAGATGCAGCAAAAAAGAGAGAAACACAAAGTCAGAAAGTCGCAGCTCCCCAAGACGAATCGTGTGAAAATGAGGAGGTCCTCGGTTCGCTGACCAGTCGCCCGACCGGTCCTAATGGTTCTCAAAAATCCCGCTTTCACCGATGCGCGTGATTCTCGAGAGAAAACTTTGCGAAAGAGCAAAATAGATCCATGGAATCACCGCGCAATGGCGACGCGAAAAAATAGCAGTCGCGGCTACGAATATTTTCAACGCATTGAAATTCTAGTGATTCTCAGTAGCTGTGCATCAAGAGTTGATACGGTGGAATGAACGTTCGAAAGAAAAAGAGAGAGAGAAAGAGAGAGGGAGATATAGAGAACCTGTCAGTGGTGGTCGTTGATAAGGAAATTGCAACTCGCACTTTCAAGACGGCGCGATGTGACACGTAAAATCGCAAGAAGCTCGGCGATAACCGAACGAATTAATTGCAAATTGATACCCGAGGCCGTAAGGGCGACTTTTCGCGAAGACGCTTTCTCGCACTGCCTCCGGCCTCTCCTCCCCCCCCCTCTCTCTCTCTCTCTCTTTTTCATGATGCAATTAATCTGCTGATCACATATGTCCCCTGCCTGCGTCGTGTGTGTTGTCGTCCACACGTATATTTATAGACTCGAAAGTAGCGTGTGATCCGTTCCGCGTCCCGACGTGAAGGTGCCAGTGGTGAGTCCTCGCTGTTGCCGCGAGCGAGCGAGCGAGCGCGCGCGACCAAGGTAATTGGATCTCTATCGCCACGTCGGGGACGTCGTGATGAGAGAAAGAGAGGGAGAGAGTGTGGTCTTACGCTGATTTCAGCGAATTATCGCCGACGGAACACAACGGCACGCGCGATGACGCAACTCGTCGAATCGTTAGAGGCTGTTCCGTTGGTTCCGTCCGGTAACGCGGCGTCCGCTCCGCGCGTCGCGCATTTCATCGTACTTGAGCTCCTCTCCGTTCCGCTTCCGAGAGTCTGCTCTCGAAAGAGGCAGAAAGAGAGAAAGACTCGGCCCGTACCGTCGAAATGTAGTATAAGTACTTTGTGAATCGGTGCTATTCTCCGAGATTGTTTCAGGGACCTCTGGGGTTCACGGTTTGTCTATTTAAGCGCGCTTCTCGCTGTGCCTTCTCGCTTTTCGGTGCCCCGAAGAGCACGAGTGAACTT